GGCCGGCAGGAGGAGCGGCGGCGCCCGGGCCGCCCGCCGCCGCGGGGAGGAGGAGGCGGGGGGGGGACAGCTCATAGCAACGCAATGGCGTCCTCGCCCGCCCCCCGCGGCCGGCGCCACAGCGCCCCCTGCCGCCCACGGAGGCGCGGAACGGCCGTAAGCCGGCGGAGGCGGGGTCTGCTCGCGGGGCTGCCATGGCAACCCGCGTCCGTGGCGAGATGGCGGCCCACCGGACACGGGTGAGAGCCCGGTGGGCTTCTCTCACAGCCCTCGGGGCGCCCGTTCTGCGCCGCGCGGGGGTAACACCGCCCCCACTGCAGCGACACACAAGTGTGTGACACACACTGCTCAAACGACGCGCAGTTAGAATTTAAATAAAGCTATTTCCACCATAGTCCAGCCTTCCACATTATGTGAGACATAATCTTACTCCCTGAAGCTCTCATCAGGGGCCTGCGGGCTGTGTTAACAGGCGAACATTTTGATCTTCTAGGTATAAAAAGCAAGATAAAATACTTGACAAATCTGTTTTTGTGTTAAATCTGTTCACAGCAGGGCCAGCAAGTACATCATGAACTATTACAATCTCAAGTTAAAACCCAAGTGCTGCAGCAGGCAATATTTAACACTTCTGGAAAAAAAGGACAAAAATAGTGCTATGCTACCACACTTCTGTTAAATGTACACGCAAATGCCAACATCCATTCCTGCTTCTTCAGGATTAGTTGGCTGGGGTTTTGGTTTTTTCTCCTGTACCAGCAGAAAGAGTTGGATCTTTCCTCAAGTCAACCAAAAGGAGGTGGACGATATGGAATGGCTTCTACAGAAGAAATGCAATAGTTTTGGATTCTTCAGCCCCAAAATGGAGGAGGCTGGAGTCCTCGTGGTGACAGACATGAGAGGCAGGGCATGGAGAAGTGCAGTAAGACCAACAGCTTGCCATTTCTCAAAGCATGAAGACTTAAAATACACTCAGCACAATCATCATCCATGGGTTTAAGGCAAACAGAACTAGAGATGGACAATTAAACATGGGTCTGAGTGTCAGAATCGGACAAAATCATGAATGGCCTGGCTACAACTTCTACCTCAGAAAATTCCTAAGCTAAACATCAAGAAAAAGGCATCAGGTTAAAGCACCTTCTCTGTCCCAGCACAACTATTCTCAATTTTAAATATATTAAAAAAAAAAATCCACAAATTATTAACAAGATTACCTTTACCTGTCTGAACTATTCTTAGAAGCTGATGTAGAAGGCCTTGCTAGGTCCAAGAGAGGCAGAAATAAATTTTGTTGTGGAAAGGACATATGCTTAAATCGTCAGCGTTTCTGGGTATCAGTCACTTGCAAAGCACACCCTGGATGCTACATGGGGAGGAAAAACACAGTCTCTTACCCTGGAGAGGTAAAAAGGACTTTTTTCCTACATGAATTCTCACACCAGAAGAGAAGCTAGTGTTTTACGCACACATTTTAGTAACTTGACCCACATTCACTGAATTTTACTGAATTTCACTGAATTTTTTAGAGTTGGAAAGGAAGTATTAAAAGTAACTTTTATTAAAAATAAGAATAAACTCTTTATAAATACAATCATTACTGTGTACACAATTCTCTTCAATATACACACCGGGATATTCAAAATCAGTGGCATTTATGTAAAATACAACATTAGATTTTAATTGCATAATTTTATACCCACATAATTATTTTGCAGATCTAGAGACCTGAATGATTTTTGGGTTGGTTTTTTCAGAGGACAGAGCGGTATTTACAAGCAAACATGATCCAAACAGCACACGCAGATTCAGGGTATGTGAAGACTCGTACACGAACTGCAAGTCGCACTTGGTCTCCCCTGCAACAGATTACTTCTTCACAAAAAGGAGACCTATTTGACAAAAAGAAAACCAAGAGTAACAGATATTACTGAGTTGTTATTACAATTTTCAATTACATGGGTGCAATTTTTTCAAGTGTGACTAACACTCAAATAGCGATGTGTCATGAGTCTGTCATTACGAATAATAATATTGTTTCTATAGCGCAGGGGCTGTTGCCCTGAAGGAAAACAAGACCACCACTGACCATTTTTATTAAGTGCCAAAAAATTAAATTAAGTCCTCATTCTTTAATTTAACCCACGAGAACCCTATCATCACTGAACTCATCAATGTAACATAAATGCTCTGTACCCCATGACTACTACACAACTCTTCTTCCAGTTGTAATTTAAGGGAGTTAATTTCCTTTAAACATCATTATAAAAAAACCCCCAAAAACAAACAATAAACTAATCTAGTTGCAATTGATACTTAAATATTACTATTTGGTTTTAACATATATATCTTTAAATTTAAACTTACCGAAGACACGTGGCAAATGCTCTCCTGGCATTTCTGTATACAAAATGGATAGGAAACCCTTTAAATGTGTGACCATCAGGTACTGCTCTTCTTACAGCATCTTGAAACTCTTCATTTCCTGCAGAAATGCTTGTTGTACGTTCGAGCTCATAGGCTGCTAGTGCTGGTGACAACAGATAGGACAGATGGTCATCCCAAACAGTAGAAAGGCCAAGATCCTGTGAGGCAAGTCACAGAATAATCACAACCATGCAAAAGGAACATGGGGATATTAATAAGCTTGCATACTGTATAGATTCAAAATAAATCCATGACAAATCTTGGATTCGTAATTAAAAGAAGTGAACCCATGAAGCAGTAAGATTTGTATATCGATTCACATGCCAACCGGAAGAATCAAAACACCCTCAATAAAATATCAAACATCTACCAAGAAATGAAGTTGGACCATGTATGTATTCAACATTATGTGAAATTCATGCTCTGATAAATACTTGACACCCCAAAGGTTGAGCACTATGTGGCGAGATAAAAACAAGAACAACTAAAAAAACCCATTAAAAACAGACAAAAGCTAACAGGGATTTGAAAGATCCTCTCCTTCACATTCAGCACAGGAAGAATAATTTCTGGCACATTACATCTTGTGAAAATCCTGATTAAGGATGAAATTAACTTCTAGAAATACGTTCTAATTTTGTAAAGCACTCAGAGCAAGATCACAAAAGCTGAAAGCCTGCTTTTTATCTGGGGATCAAAACCATTTGTGATGGGCAAAGCCCACTGATGACCAGATCTGATCTTCCTAGCTCTTTTACAGACCACTCAGAGGTAGTCTCCAGGTGTCAGGAAGCTGAAGATCACAGATGTAGAGTGAGAGGCAAAGGCAGGATGGAGAGAAGAACCCACACATGTAGATACAGAATCACCCCTGCAAGTAGTAAGCATGACATCTAAACTAACTCCAAAGAATTTTTCAGTTATTTCAGTTACGACAAACTGCATTTCTGCAAAAGCTGATGGAAAATACACTGCAAAAATATGTCAACTAACAAATGCTATCTAAAGCAAGTATACAGTAAAAACATGCACCTTTATTACCATAACAGATCAGTGACAATCTTTAAACAGAATTACCTTTCTGTGTTCAGAGACCAGTACTCTCAGCTGCAACTCTATCTCGTTGCTTGCTACCGCAGCATCTAGTGTAGAAGCACACAGAGGAGGAAAAGGGGGAACTGAAGATGTTGTTCCAGGGGAACACACTGATTTTATTGCTTCTCCGCTCATGGGTTTCCATTTAGATTCGTCATGCAGGTCAAACACACAGACCTCCACAGCGTCAGAGGGCTGACAATTTCCAAAGAACTTCTGATGGTTGAAGATACAACCTATCGTGCGATAAGGGTACAGTGGCTTGGGTTGTTCAACTACTGGAGGGTCATCAGGGTTGATAGGTCTGTGGATGTACCTAATCAAAAACATTCAGTTTCTAATTAATACAGCTTATTTGAAGGCAAGGTAAAAATATTTAGATAGGACAGATATAAGCCATTTCTCCCATTAAAAATATAAGCCAGGTTTGTCAACATATTTTTTTTCCCCGAAATGGCATTCATTTATTTACATAAAAGTAATTATACACATTTTGGAGGCATAACATGCAATGAAATAATATACCACTTTTTTCTTTAAATCTAGAAAAATAAGCTGATTAATCAAACTGATATTCAACAGCAATTACATTTTGCAACTATAACAACATAATCACATAGTTTCCCCGTTACTCATCACATTTGGAGAAATACATCTTCAAATGCTAATCATAGGATACACGAGCAGTGGCAAAACAATTGCTTATTTTCAACACTGGATATTAATCAGCATTTTTCACAAAGCCAAAAGTCTCATATTCAAATATATAGTCCCACTATGCTACTACCAATGTGACTTGAAGCTTTATATTACAAAAATTATGTTTCCAAAAGTAATGCTTCATATAGCACTAGGAAGTACAATGGCAATATCATCAGTAAAGAGGAAGTTCTTTTCATTGAAGTTTGGAGCATTTTTTAAATTTTTATATAAAAATTGGGACACACTTGAGCAATAGGACACGCAGAATTAGAAAGGAAAGAATTTTTATCAAAGAGGTTCCAGAAGCTCTGGAATACAGAACAGAACATATGCCCTTCTAAAATGACTCAAGTGAATCTCAGAGAATTTGCACAGATTTCTGCAGGTGAAAAAAGTAACACAGATTTCGCAGATTTCTGCTCCTCATATTGCCCTGCCAGCAAGCAGGCTGGGGGTGCACAAAAAGCTGGGAGGGGACACATCTGGGAAAGCTGACTCCAACTGACCAAAGGGATATTCCATACCATATGACATCATGCTCAGCATGTAAAGCTGGGGGAAGATGACAAAAGGCGGGGGGACGTTCAGAGTTATGGCATTTTGCCTTCCCTGCTGGGAATACAAAGCAGGGATGGAGCCCTGCTTTCCTGGAGATGGCTGAACACCTGCCTGCAAATGGGAAGTAATGAATGAATTCCTTATTTTGCTTTGCTTGCGTGTGTGGCTTTTGCTTTACTTATTAAACTGTCTTTATCTCAAC